GTTCTCCCCATTCCCGTACTTTTTCTTAATTTTTGTGAAAGTCAAAAGTTAAAGCACTTAGCAAAACATAGTCACTCAAAATCTCATGTAAATCCAAATAACGGTTCTTAAAATATCGTAAAAAATGTTTTTTTTAAGTTTAATGCCCTCTAGCGGACAAACGAATCACTTTTGTATAGAGATAAATTTTTTCTAATGAGTTTATTTTGTTTCCAAAAATATGTAGTAGTTCTATGTCCACGGAATATTGGGACACACTGTATTTCTATGAAAAATAATATACCAATAAATGAAAGAAAATGTAATGATAAAATTTCAAGATCTAGATTCAGTTATGTAGGTACTAAAATAAAAATATATGTATATTATGGATACTGGCAAACTACGAATTGGTTGGTTATCTATTGTCATTGTTATTTTATATTTGTATATACTATATTATAGGAATATATTATAAGTTAGTCTTACACGTATGTATTTGTAAAGTGGTGTAAGGGCATATTTCATATTAATTTATTCATGGATAGAAGTTAAATGACAAGACAATTTTCGATAGATAAAAAATACGTGTATAATTTTGGTAATCGTGTAAAACTTCATTATAATAATTCTTTTCATACATTATATTCTTTACTTTATAATATTCTTATTTAACTTATTTATAATAATATGTAGGTACAGATATCTTCTTAGCTTTAAATAGAGGACTATACAGAAAACCACGTACACATACTCGCACACACATGTCGAATCACGAAAGAAGACGATTACGTCAGTACATTTTTATTTCGAAAGGATATATGGATCTGATATGTGAATATGTTGTAGGTTGCAGATTATATGTATAGGAGGGGGAAAGGTAATGACGCGATCTTATAGATCTGCGCGTCCCCCTTTTATTGAGCTATAACCATAATAGAAGGAAAAGAGTAGTTGCACTCTCCCAAATATTTTCTACCAGTTTTTACAGTCTGTCGAATATTGGCAGATTGCAGAGCGTTTCAGTTGAGTTCCGTCCGTCGACCTGCGAGGTTCGAGCGTTGCGTCCAAGCACAGAGACGGATTGACAAAAAATGAGTGCCTTACTGTGTGCTGCTATTGGTTTTAGTAATATTTCAAAAAATTGTGCTTTGAGTTTTTTTTTGAGAGTCAGTTGTGATCATGTTTGTGTTTAGGTTAATTTTCTCATGACTGATTACTACTTAATAATTTGATATTATTTTCATTTAAACCTCAATTTTTTATCGATTTTACTTCTGACAACCATCCCTTGCTTGCTGTTTAACGAACTGCACCATCATTGAACAAAAATTTGCTAGTACCGAAAGTACCGAAAAAAAACTGGTTATCCCGGTTTCTTAGAGGCATGATACCGAAATTACCGGTTCCGAAAAACAGCTCCGGTTGAGGAAACGCTATAACGTACCATAACCGTGAATCGCCCTATACAGGGTGAGTCTTAAATAAGTGCAAATATTTTTAGGGGTAGTATATTTTGGCCCCAGAAATACGAGGATTTTTGTGCGCATTTTTTTTTTAAAATCTGGAATTTTTCTTAATTTTTAGTTAAAAAACATAGTTTCTTGATAATATGGTAACTAGGGTTCAGAACCGGAAATTCCCGATTCTTTTGAGATATGAAAGAACCGGGACTGGAAATTATTAATTCCCGGTATTTGTGGTAGGTACCTTCGGGACTCGGTAACAATAACCAAAAAATGATTCTTTTATTACGTGAGAAAGTAGTGATGCTATTTCTCATTATTCTTGCTTCTTTTCTCTTTTGACATTTCTGTAATGTTTATTAACAATAATTATTAAAGTTTAAATATGCTATTTTATTATTTAGTACAATATGTTATTCAATGTATTAGTTATCCAATAAAAATCACCTAACCAATACATTATTACAAAACAAACACATTAATAGAAGATTTTTCCCATAGAAGATTTTCAGATACAGAAGAATTGTTACTTACACGAAATGTGAAAATATTCTGTTTTCAAGCAAATTGTTACTCCATGATCAATTTTTTTTTTATTTTATTTTATTGTGAACTCATATTTTCCTAAATACGTCTCTGTGAAACTATGGCGAGTGCCACGACTATACTTTGCCTAGAAGCTTCCACGGACATGAGTTACCTAGGTCACAAAAACGATGAGAATAGATAAAAGATTAAAACAAATGGTGAGAATCATAAGAGATGTGAGATAATGATGCGGATTTTATAGCCTAGTACCTTTGTTATATGTTTGTTATATGTACAAAGCTGGTACATAGCAGACGTAAAGGTATATTTGCGGTTGAAGCAAATGGGAGATGAGCACTTGAGGAGGTGGTAGGTTCTATAAGACACATTTCTGGAAGGCCAGCTCGGAAAAAACCACTAGAGGTGTGCCACCTTCATAGAATAAGTCTGAACATCATTTAGGGAAGCAAGCCACTAATAACAACAAAATGAGTAATCCAGACCTGGACTAAAACATTAAGCACAGGAAGGAAATCCACTGCTCCTTCTTTCAGTCTTTTATCTTGAAGCTAAAAGACTCTCTCGTCGAATGTAGGATAATAAAAATGGAAGTTGGAAATGGAAGCCTGGTAGGTACAGCTGTTAACTTTTTACTTCCAAAATAAGGCCAAAGATCAATAAAGCTCATCTTACAAATAACAGGTATGGATCAGAGAATGTATTTATCCACATAATTTCACAACTTTGGCATATTGTGGCCGTTTTACGGAAGACACCTCTAGGTCACCTTGTCACTGAGTCACTTTATCCTGCTTTATCTAAGTTAGTTGGTTAGTGAGTGAGACTAAACTATATCTGTCTTCCGGCGAAGGATACATTATAGTCTAAGAGCTAGCAACGTTTTCGAGAAAGTATTTTAAGACGTCTGGCTCTTTGATATCTGACCCGCCTGGCTGCTGATACCCGTTGCGTCCACTACTGCGCATCGGAAGAAGATCCTATATTTTGTTTAATTTAGTCCTATACATTCTAGTATTGAATATAAATCAAACATGTCTCCATAGCGCAGTGCGTAGAGTTTCCGACTACGAACCGAGCATTCAGAGTTCGAAATCGGGTCAGGGCAAAGACTTTTTTATTTTATTTTCGTTTATATTCTGATAGTAAAGTATTAAATAATTCTGGTGATTAAAAAAACAAATATTTAATACTTTACTATCAGAATATAAACGAAAATAAAATAAAAAAGTCTTTGCCCTGACCCGGATTCGAACTCTGAATCATCGGTTCGTGGTCTGAGACTCTACGCACTGCGCTATGGAGACTTATATACTAGAATACTAGATAAAAAAAATAAATCTAATACTAGAATTTAAAGAACTAATAAAAATATTGAATCTTTTTTCAATGCGCAGTAGGGAACGCAACTTTTCCGGCAGCCAGACGGGCCGCATGCTGTTCTAGAGAGCATAGTAAAAGATATATCAAGGGTATACTATTAAGGGTTCTATACAACATTTGGATTCGATCTGAAGATAGGTGAACTTGATTTGTCGGATTGCAATGTAATAAAAAAATATTTTTTTATTAAATTATTACAATGTTGATAAATTCTACGTGATGTGCTTCTGTAACGATTATTTATTCGATTAATACATTTATTTTTTAATTCATTAGAATATTTTATACAATGTAATCGTCTTTTTTCGGGATTCGGGTTTGATTCTGTTTTCCATCTTGGAAATAGGATTGCACGGCATTTATGATGGCTTTATAGCCAGTAATGTTGAAACCAGTACTGTCTCATTGATATGTTTAAACTCAGTGAGAGAGTACCAATATGTAAGATATATTATTTACTCAAAAATCAAAATATTAGATATTAACGTTTCTTAAGATTTCAAGACTGGCAGTTGAAAAATGTTAATTTTTTTATGCCATAAGATGGCCTCAAAAATAAATTTTCTAAAAGCAATTTATCACGTGTATTGTTTCTTTAATTTATTAATTCTTAACATTATATTGATAGTTTGTGTATTTTATAATCTTCTGTCAATCAATTTAATCGTATCATTAAATAGTTAGTATATGTTATGGTGCGTTTAGACTTGAGCACGCACGAGATGAGCGTGCGCGCACTCCATTCGTTCGCGCTCTCGGCTCCGTTCAAATTAAAAACTTATTTTCGACGAATGAAGTGATCATTTGTGCGCACACAGCAGAGTTGTGTTGGCGAAAATAATGGACGACCAAGAAATAGTGGAGGCTACAGTCATTGTTATGCACAGCTGAATTATTAAAAAGAAGAAAAATCGAAAACCTCGTCCCTGGTGGCAAACCCAAATTTTTAGAGATCGATATAATTAACTGCAACAACTTAGTGTCTGAGGAGGGCTATGATCAGTTCAAAAACTTTACAAGAATGACCAGGCCCGACTTATTTTTTACAAAATTTAATAACACCAAAAATTTCGAACAAAAGATACAAATTTTAGAATAGCAATTTCATTAATATCGACATATTCAATATTAATTTTATTTACATGGTCTTGCCATGCTTTATTTTTTTTAATTTTTTAATAATACAAAGAATGTTTAACATCCCATAATATAGGTAACTTGTCATATTTTTCAATTAATAATAACGAAGATTCATTGATCCACTCCATAATTTTAATAAAGAAAACGAAAAAAAAATCACACACGCACGCACGAACGCAGACAAAACAAATTGCCGGTGCAAACTGAGCGTTCGCGCACACATAAAATCCCTTTGAGTACGGACCAAAAACCGACACCAGACGGCTCACGTTCGCGGCTGCTCGCGCACAGACAGATTCAGATTGAGCGTGCGCGCACAGCCGTTTACACATGAGCATTCGCGGAGGATCAGTGCGTGCGTGCTCAAGTCTAAACGCACCATTACGGTTAAAGCCGAGACCCCATTAGCCAACACCCGACGTGATGCCACGCTATCCCACGTGGGAATGGGTGTACACATTAGGTAACACGTGTTAACACGCCTGAAATTTTTATTACAGTTAAAAAAGTTATCAATGGGGTTACGACAATATAGTAGAAGTATCGATACCCATACCGATATTAGATTATAATCACAATACCAATATATTCAGAATCGAATATCGATAATTAATAAGATCAATCTTTTGTTACCGATTTTTTCTGGTTCTATTTTGTTATATCCGATGTTGAATCGATTCAAAATATCGATTTATTTTATTTTTGGGACATCCCTACATCAACTACAAAAGTAGATAGCTGCGGGACTAGAGAGGCAAGCGGAGGAACACGTCTTAACACACATCGGTTAGATCTGAGACTGACGAATCGCCCATCACACGTGTGTTAGCGTGTTATGGCGTCGGATGGCGTGGCGTGGCGTGTTGCCTTGTGTGTACGCAATACATGTATTTAAATGGAAAAACATACGCACAGATCTTCACGACGTGGGGTAGCATGGCATCGCGTGGCGTGGTGTGTTGGCTAATGGGGTCCGGGCTTAAAGGTCGATATCCGGTTAATGTCGATAATGAAGTTAATGTTCGGGTTTGGTTTTGTGTTATTCTCGAGATTAACCGGGTAAATTGAAATTAATATATAAATAAAAATACATGTCTTTTGGCATATACGCTTTGTGCGACATCTTTGGTACATAAATTACTTTAATTTTACACTACTTTAAGGTAATACTTTTGTATATTCTATCATTATAATTATATTAATATTATTGTTGTTAATAATAATGTTATCCAGTTAAGTTAACCTCTTACACCAATTTCATTGCAAAGTAGAGAAATAGAAAATCCTTTATTTAATATAATGGTGGCAGTTTATAAAAAAAAACATATTTAAATTGTAGGAAAAAACGCAGTTTTACATTGCTTATAATCGAATTCTATCTATATAAAGTAATGAACGCAACATTAAAAATAATTATGTGTTTTAACACAGATTATCAATATAAGAAATCTAGAAATAATTTGTCAAATACAATTTAAAACTGTTGGAAATGTAACTAAAATGAAAGTTTATTTGTTAGCAAATTCCAATAACATGAAAATATTTGAACGATTTTTTTGTCAGCAGTTTCCTTTTGTTTTATTGAATTATGGTAGCCGATTTTAAAGATATTATTTACTAAAAAATAATACCTATATCCTTTTTTAAAAATTTGGATATTTTTAAGTTTAAGGCTACGTCATTGTTCCTGTCATTATATAATCCTAAATATTAGAAATAATATAATAAATCATGTAGGTATGCATTATTATGCAGCAAAAGATCTACGACGAACTGTGTTATATTTAAGCAATGTCAATTTTTGGTCTATACTGCAATACTAAAGGAGGATTTTGGAACCTCCATCTTGTCACTACGACAAATTTCAAAGTATGATCTTTTCCCAGCAGCTCATCGTTGCAAAGAACATCTATTTCCCTGTACTTGTCCACGCCATTCATTATCTTCATAGCGATAAATTTCTTCAAATGCAGTATCGTAGCCTGTGCCGAACATCGTATGAACCTTCTTTTTAAGGCCCTCATATTCGGACTAATGCACTCCAAACAAATATTTATTTGCTCGTCTTGTCTGTGGTAATCGGACGCAGCATGGGGATCGCTTTGATCCTCGCTGTTCAGATCCAAACTCGCTAAAGGAATGTCTTTAGGATTGGACAAACCTCTAACTTTATAAAAGTCCCTTTCGCGAATAGTCTCGTTATTGAGCAAGTTGGGAACCAACTTGTAAACGATATCCTGCATGGTCCTGTCGAAGCTGATGTACTGCAAAGGATGCGATTGATGTATCACAATGTTACACATGGGACACGTATTGTTCTCTTCTAGGTGTTTCACCAAGCAACTTTTGCAAAATGTGTGCAGACATTCCGTTACTGTTGTGGCATCTATCAAATATCCTTTGCAGATTTTACAAGTTATATGGCTATTAATAGATTTAAGTTTAATTCTTTTCTCGACTAATGCCGACATAGTAATTAGAGTAGAAAATCACTCTTTTAAGTTTGGTGCTTGCTTAAAAGAAACCAAACGACTTCAACTAAATCTTCTCAATTTTACTAAATAATGATTTCAGCCTGTATAGTTTCTTTTGGTATAACCTCACACATTTATCACATATTCCCTGTAACGCTAGACTTCTAACTCTATCACTAAGTCTCTGTATTGATGAAAATTATTAAAAGTAAAACTTTCTAGCGATCGGTATACAAATACTTTGGTTTCAATCTACTTAATAAAATATTTATTGTGCTTCTAAGCTAAAAACTAATAGCTGCAGGGTGGGCACTGGTGCTGCGCAGGATGCTGACTTTGTTCTCTCACATAATCGTGAACGTTGAATCGATGAGAGTCTTTATGACCGTTTTGGCGATATTTCAGTTCCCTGCAAATAAAATGTAAAGTAAGTCTCAAAACACAAAATATTGTAAGGCAATTAAAAAAAATGTGAGTTATTATGGCAATAATTATTGTAAAAAAATATGTTCAGATTCAAATAGATGAAGTACCGTGACATTGTACAAAATATATAAATGTACAGGGTGTAAATAATTAAGTACGAAAAAAAAGACTGAGTGATTCTTTATTAGAAAATAGAAGGGTTTTGACATTAAGTTTTTTGATTTGGCGTTTCCCTAGAAAGTTGTGTTTGGAAAGAAAGGGTGAACCAAAATCAATTTTCAAATTCAAATTTTCGACTTTTTTTCCAGAAACGGGTCAAACTGAAAACTTGTCATTTAGTGTGTGTATTAGCAATGGGAACTATCGAATGAATTAGACAATCGAATGGTTACTGAATGAATGATTTCAACTATCGAATGGTTTTATTCGAATAAAATCATTCATTCATTTGTACACTAAAGCATATGTGACAACCTCGCCGTGCGACTAAATGGTTATCGTTGAGCCACGACTATCGAATGCTTTTGATAAATGAAATTTAGTATTCGTTTGATTTTTGTGTGTGTCAGTGCATTATTAGTTCTTCCAAATTTTTATAACTTCGCCTTATAAATACTGTGCTATTTTTGCGTTTATTAAAATATTTAAAATACTAAAATTGTAGTTGTTTTTTAATTGACGATTGTGTGCCGTGTGCAGGTGGTCAAAATTTTTCCGAAAATTTGTGTGATTTTCCGTAGCCCGATCTTTCAATTATTTAATTTTATATGGTATATGGTCTATTTTTTAATGGGATATTTTGAGAAGTAGCAATTTTTAAGAGAGATGAGATGAACTTACAATTAATTTTAAAAATACATATTTGTATTTTAGATGTTTTAATAATATGAATTAGTTGAACTTAATAATCATATTTAAGTAATGTGGTTAAGTAAATGGGGGGTTATCGAACTCAAACTATGGGGTCTGAAAATTAAATTGAAAGTTTTACACTTGCCAATTTAAAAAAAAGTTAACGATGTTTGTATTTTGTTTATGCTAATTCTCTTACATGTAGTTTTTTGCGAAGAAATATTTTATTTATTTTTTAAAGTAAATGCCAGTAAAAGTAAATATTACTTTTAAATAGTAATATAAAGTACCTAATATAAATAATTTTGATTTCTAATTTTTTATTTATATTTTCCTTCCATTACACTGCATGCTTAGAAAATTAATAAATGTTTATATTTCATGATTTTAAAATTTGTTGTTAATATAACAAATTAGTTCTGTAATTATTATTATTTAATAAAGCAACGTTGCCACAAAAAAAATAGAGACTATATTATTTTTAAATAGGATCTAATATAAATAATTTTGACATCTAATTTGTTGTTTATATTTTGCTACTACTTAAAAAAATGTTTATATTAAATGATTTTAAATTTTGTGGTTAATAGGTATAACAAATTATTACTGTTATTATTATTTATTAAACCAGTCTTTGCTTAAAAACATTAAAAATCATTTTCCTACATCCAAAATAACAAGTATTATTGCAGTGTAACAACAGAATATTAATAAAAAATACAAAATATATAGACATACTACCCCTAACTAACTAAAGCCAAACAATAATATTCTTTGCTAATATCAACTAATACCAATATATGGCAACAGCGCCCTTCATAATGTATTTTCTGTGTAAATACTAGCACCTCAATAAAAAAAAATAATATGTCCTTATCTTTAACTGAGTCCGCAAAAAATCAAAGATGCCGGCTTCTTCCATAGCATTGCCACCGACCGTTGTCGGGTTTCTCGGAAAGAAACCTACGTCGCCGGGCGACAACTAAAATCCAGTTAATATTTTATTTTAATCGATCCTGACGAATAAATGAATTTCATAAATGAATGAATTTTATAAATGAATGGTTTTTGCTGCCGAATTACTAGAATACAATATTTCAAGGCAGATGACGCATCTATTCGATAATTTTCATTCGAATAGTTTTCAACGAATGTTTTCTTACTAGCTATCGAATTATTCGAATGAATTACAACTATCGAATGTTTCGATAGTATTCATTCAATAGTTCCCACTACTAGTGTGTATGTTATATCCAATCGCATACAGTATGTAAAGCAATAGGCGCAAAAAAATCGAGTAATAGAATAATAAGCGAGTGATACTATTTTTAAAATAATGAAGTTTTTTGGTTTATTTTCTTTATTAAGCATTTCCTTACAAAGTTAAGTGGTTGTACAAACTACCTAACTTAAGAATATTATTGACTTTTTTCAAAAACGGTTCACACTAAAAAGTTAACATTAGGTGTGTGGATGTAGGTATAAATCGCTTTATTTTGTTATTTTTGGTTCACCTTGTGCAAAAAATTATTATTATGTTATATACTGAGAACAACTAATGAAATACATTAAATTTTTAAATATTCCTTTATTATTGTACTCCCAAGTTAATCACTTAATTATATTGTATGATATCAAATAGGTACGTACTTTGCTATGGCGTGAAATGCTAGTTCAACGTTTTGTCCACTTTTAGCCGATGTTTCCATAAACGTCACGTTGTATTCCCTGGCTAATCGTTCACCTTCTTCTCGTCTTACAGCTCTATCGCTGCCACAGTCGGCTTTGTTTCCTGAAACAGATATAGAAAATTGCTCAGGATATGATTTTTATGTTTGCTACGTTACGTAATACAGCTACGTAATACAATTCTTGAAAAGAAATTTGGATTTTTCCCTTGTGTTCAGCCAAGTAATATAATATTATTAATTTATTTTGACATAAACGACTCTGGAGTATAAAATTTGTGTAAAGTTTTGTGTCTACAACCCTCCCTTTCCCGAATCCTGGATCCGCCCCTGGCAAAGTTGTACATAGTTTTTAAAGGCCTGCGTATGCTGAACACACATGCCAAATTTGAATAGTTTTGAACAAGCCGATTTTAACTAATTTAAGAAAAACTGCATATACAGGGTGATTTTTAACCTATACGCATAAACTTGGGAAATTATTGCTGATGACAAATAATGACTAATAATGAAAAAAAGAGTTAGTAAAATATTTTTATTTACGGAGATAACAAACTATTTGAAATAAAAACAAAGACGTAAATTCCATTACATTGAATGTACATTTACTGATAAAGTTGATAAATTTTTGTGAAAAAAAAACTCAAATTATTTCAGAATCTAAAAATATTTTACTAATATTTCTTTTTCATTATTAGTCACTATTTGTCATCAGCAATAATTTCCCAAGTTTATGCGTATAGGTTAAAAATCACCCTGTATTTTAAATTAGATCTGAACAGGTAACAATGCAAAACCAGGCAAATGTCAACATATCTTAAGTTGTCAACCTATGATTATATCATTGTCAAGTGTAATTTACTGTGCTGTATGTACGCATAGTCTGTACGTAACAGTACCTACGGTTAGGATCCCCGAAATGGAGTTTATAAGTAAAAACTTGTTCGAATTAAGCTTGATTTTCATGCATCCGTTGTCCGACGGTACGTTGATACGATATTAATTTTATTGGTAGAATTTAAAGACTTTGATTGGTTAGAAAATAACGCAGTTTTTAAATTTATTGCATTTTCATGGCTCCGTTAATCGGATATATGTTGATCTTATTTTATATTTTCGTTTCCATAAAGATTTTGCTATTTTACTCATATTTTTATTAAGGTTAGATTAAATTTGTCAAAAAAGTGTCCAAACGTCCGTTATCGTATGAACGGGCTGAAGTAAAATACTTACGGATGAAAAGTGGCGCGAAAACGCTATGACCAATCAGAGCACCTTCGGACCATCGTATCAACGTATAACGGATGCATGAAAATCAAGCTTGCTGAGTTTACACATGCAATGATTTACTGGCGCCAGTGACTCCTGGCGCGCCAGTAACTTTAAAATGCATATGTAAACACATCCTGGCGTGCAAGCGTTATCCATGCATGCATGGTTTAAAAAATTTAGCGGGCTACCAAAATTTTATGCGCCAGTAACTTTTCTGGCGAAAGTAAAATTTAAACTTGCAAGTGTAAACGCATTCCGTGCACGCCAATTATCGCGGGAAATCACTTTTGAGGTTAGCGAAACGGTTTTAATTTGTTGTTTTGAGTTTTGTGTTTTCACGATGAGCAAGAAAGAGAAGAAATGCAAATCAAAAAAACCATTATACGGTTTTTAGAATTGTACGATCAAGTTCCTTGCTTGTGCGATGTGCATTCTGGAATGTACAAAAATAAAGATGCTAGGGAAAATGGCTATTTACAGATAGCACGATTAATGAATATTGAAGGATTTGATTCATCGGACTTTAAAGCCAAAATACGTAGCATAAAAAGTATGTGAGTTTAGCACACAAAGCATCTCTTATATGGGTGTTTTTTTCTCAATCAGTGGTGTTACACGTTGTAAAAGAAAATCAAATCCTTCTTCTGCCATTCGTAAATGATTTCAAAATCTCTGAGGGTCTTCCATTATAAGTTCTTTTAAAAGCGAATTTGAAGCACCCATGAGCGACGTTTTCTCTTATGATGCTTCTTGCGTTCTAAATCTTTAATCATCCCATCAATTATCAATTTTGCAATTCTTCGACAATTACTTTTTAAAAGCTCTTTTCGGCACATGATGCAAAAACTATCAAGACTAGCAACTGGCGTATAAAACACAGTAAACCGTGTAAACGCTTACTGGCGTGAAAATTGAACTGGCGTTAACACTGGCGTCAGTAAATCCATACATGTGTAAACTCAGCTTTATGCACAAGCCCTACCGTATAGAAAATACAATTTGACATTCACCAAATCATAGGTTAACAATTTAAGGTCTACTGGCATTTGCCTGGTTTGCATTGTTACCTGTACAGTTACAATTTAAAAATAGATGCAGTTTTTCTTAAATTGCTTAAAATCGACTTGTTAAAAATCGTTCAAATTGGACATGTGTATTCAGCATATGCAGAACTTTCAAAGGACAGTTCAAAATTTGCATGCGATTTCCTATGTTTCCAACGATGATGAAACCAGTATAGGGTGCAACAAATTCTAGGTACGAGCATTGGTATCTCGGCAAACGTAATAGATACGAAGATAGTTAAATTGGGGCAAAGTTGCGCCTTGGACTGTTCACCAAGATGCCATCAAAAAAGTTTTTAAAAATTCAAGGATTGTTGAGTTTTTTGGAAAAAACGAATTTTTTTGAAAACTAATTTTATTTTTTACTGTCGATATTTTTTAGAAAATCAAAAAACTAATTGCACATTCTCATAGCCACTTTTTTAGGGATATCTGATAGTATTTTTAGTATTTTTAGATTTTCAAATTAGCTGATAATTTCTGAGATACAGAGGCCAACTTATTTTTTTTAAATACGGACCTGCATTTTTTATTTCAGATTTTGAAAGAACTCAGTCTCCTGAAAATGATATGCCACCATAGACTTAAAATAAAATATAGACTACACTATTTACATCTCAACGCGGACAAACAATATTTTTTGTACACATGTTTACTTCTGGGTACAGTCGACCGAGCCTTCCTCGTCCAGCCTATGTTGTCACGTCTTTAATATTATCAATATTTTTTTTCTTGTTATACACATATATTGAGATATTAATACTACAGTTTAATAAAGTAGGTTTTAATATTCCATAGATGTATTAAATAGTCCTTATACTACTAAATTATAAGTCGGATACTGTTTAAAAAGGATAAGTTCTTGTAGTACGTGTCCCACGTGTGCGGTAAAGCTTTGTTGCCGCTATCTCCCCGGCTGTATTAACGCATTTTCTTAGCTTGTAGTCCTTAAGTGTTCATTTTATTGACTTTTTCTGTTCAAGAACTATAAAATATGGTTCGCCAGTGCCAAATTTGCAAGAAATTTGACTTAAATGATCCATTTAATTCTTGAAACGACTTTTGACCGGTAGGCAACTCTCAATTTGACATATGATATGTCATTCTATTCAGAGTGTCATTTTCTATCGAATAAAGTAGAAATATACCGAGGGTGCCGTTTAAAAATTAAAAGTTATAGTCATTTCCGGTGAAACAGAAAGTAACCAAAAACAATTGAATGCGTAAATCAATCCTAATTTATGTCATATACTAACATACTAAATCTTGTTTTTTTATTTGAAAATATAAAAAAATTATGGGGATGAGCCACTTTTGGGACGCACCCGGTATAATAAAGACAGTACCAAGTTAAATATATGTAGTTTTCATTTTATCCACTTCCTATCACCTTCCTTGCTTTAATGGAACAGATTTATGTTTTCTCTAATTTACATAAGACATCACTTAACCAGAAAAAAAAATACAACAATCATATTTTTTTTCTCTCTCTGTCGCCGATTCTGTTACATCTGTGGAATAGATCCTGTTTTGATTAATATTAGGGGTTGTAAATGTTTGACTAAAATTAATAATTTATTATTCATTTCAAAAATTACGTAATTTCGATTATAAAATTTCTTCTATAACGTGTATTTTATTATTTTTATCCTTTTTGGACTCTAAGACGTTTTTTCTAAACTTTTATTTAAAAAGCCTGTCCTAAATCTTAATAAAATATAAAACAGTTTAAATACGATATATTTTTAATTTAATTATAGCTTCATTAAAATAAAAAAATTACCCGGCTATGATACGGAGAGTTCAGGTGTACTTGAGAAACGAAAGACAGTGTTGTGTTTCTCGGCAGAGTCATCAGGGAACGACCGTTACGACAGAGACAACCTATCTATCGCTCGTGTCGCACTCGTTATAACCTAAAACAATAACACAACAATAACAAGACATTGTCTGACCGCATGTTCCAGCTATTTATGAATGAGATGCTCAGTCTATATTTTATTTTAAGTCTATGTATGCCACACTTTATACTTTTTTTTTGTTTTGGAAATTTGGACACAATTTATTTAAACTAATTTCAAGTCCGGCTCTGTTTTTTTAATATTTAATATATTCATCGTTACAATATTGATAAGCTTTCAAATTTAACAGTGACGTGGTTTGAATACAGAAAATCAAATGCAATAAAAACTCACTGAAAAATTAAGAGATGAATCCAGTACTAGAATCCATTCAGACCAGCCCATTGCTCCTACATGGGTTTTAGAGAAAAAATTTCTCACTCTGTACAATGGCATGTGGTCAATGCAATGGCATTACATGTATGAACCCAACAAATGTGGAAGTGAATGAGGACTATCCTTAAGATACGTTATCCTATTTTTGAGCTAAGGTTTTTCTTATTTTGTTATTAAACGTGTAAATTTTTCAATATACCTATTTCATGGGAAATTATTTGTAAAACTGAAATTTGTCTTATTCAATGTTTTTAAAATGTAAAAAAACGCACATTTAAAAAAATTATCTCTGCCACTGGTAACTTACCTTTATTAAAAAGATCGTTTTTATAGGAACTTGTATCCTAATAAATTTTTTGGTCTTGAGATTTACATCAAAAATGCTTTCATTTGAAGTTAAACAGAGAATGGTGGGTTATTAAAACAATCCTTCTAAATTAAAGAATTCGCACCTGCGCCACTGAAATTCTAAAATTTTTGGTTCTTTACCTATGTGGTAGGAAATTTCCTTCTCTTCAATTTTTTACTCGTGACTTTTTTCCTAAAATTCATAGTTTTAGAGTTATTGAAGAAAAAGTAAAAAAGGGCCATTTTTACCCCTTTTAGGGGTGGTTTTGGGGTGACGGGCTCAACGCTTCATCGCTGGGGTTTCAGGATGTTTAAAGATCTACAAAATGAAGCTCCATGCCAAATTTCAGCTTGTCTCTAATTTGTTGAACCTCGGCCTGTATAGGCACACACATATCAGCTGATTTGAAAGTCTAAAAATACTATCAGATAGCCCTAATGAAGTGGCTATGAGAATGTGCAATTAGTTTTTTGATTTTCTAAAAAGTATAACCATGTTCGTACGGTTACCGAGTTACCAATGCTCGTACCTCGAATTTGTAGCACCCTGTATACAATAATAATGCCAGTTATCTGTAAATATAACTCAACATTCTGAAACGATGTTTCGACGTGTATTTTCGTCTTTATCAAGGCTATTTTCAGCGATTTTGTATTTGTATTTAAATTGTATTTAAATCAGATCTTAAAAATAATGGATTGGACCCTGTATTTATTTTATACATATAAAACTTGAAATTTTAATTATTCTATACCAAAAAATCGCCAAAGCTAAACTATACATCACTTCAATAAATAATTATTAAATTAAAATAAAAGCAAACTTTAAACACCTTTATATGTACTTCAAATCAGTGATTTTTTTAAATATAGTATCTTATCTATGTTTTTGGAACAAAAGTCAGTTTAGCCTACATCATTCGTCCTTTATGACCGCTAGGCCCGTACTGATTAACAAATACGAAATAATTTAATAATGATTGCATTTGAATTTATCATGACTTTCCCATTAAAGTAAACAAATCAAATACATCACTAATGTTGTATTTTTTCACTGCAGTTTTCTGTACTTATATCTTTATAAGTTTAAGGTGTAATATTCAATCTTAAAATAAATCTAAATTGGATTGATAATAACTATAAGAAAATGAATGTTAATGAAAACTTACCTAATCCTAATATATCCCTCCACTTTATCTTTAATACATAATATTGAAATTAAATTAATAGGTCAGATATTTTTCAATTTGAGAATATTTTTATCCATTGACATTTCTGTCATTAATCTAATAACGCGGATAATGATAGTTGGAACAGAATACTTCTTATTCTTTTCTTAAGCACACTATTGTTTTTTCCTTATTTAACTATGTGAAGGTAAATATGATTCATATGTATGATTAAAAGTCTAATAATTAAAGGGAGTTGGATATACCTATACAACTTATAGAATTCTATTATACAGGGTGCAAATAAAGAGCTAAAAATATTTCCTTTTTATAAATAAACAGGGTTCTTCATATACAATTTTTCGATTTCGCATTTCTCTAAAATTATTTACTTGTACAGGGTGCGCCAAAATCACAATATTATCGACTTCTTTCAAGAACGGTTAATAGTAACTAAAAGGTTCACATTTGGTGTATAGATGTCATAAATCAAGATCGTTTTTAGATAGCATGATCACATATTTAGATAGACACTGTCTGTACTTTTTAGAAAGACACTGCATATGATTTGAATACATAGAATTAATACTCATAGAAGGCTAGTAGAGTGAAGTCACTCATGTAGAAAGAGAGTAAGTAAAGGTTTGGACAATAACACGCTTGCGCGGGCAGATACATTATTTTATTAGAGGAAAGTCGCCTAATATGAGGATAGTGCCTAATATGGGGTAGGTCACTTTTGCGGAAGTACTGAGTGCGACATCTATTGTATTCATCGCTTGCTAACAGCCGACATGCTAGGAGGTGACCATTCTCTTTTTGGTCCAAACTTGTGCTCTGTTTTGACGTTTGAGCTAATAACAGTTTTGTGTAGTAAGCAAATTTTTTTGGTCGTGCTGCATTTTAGGTGTTTAAGGAGACTTAAAGGTTAGTTTTTAAAGTTTTGATAATATTATTCTATACAAAATTTAGCGTAGTTTATGAAAATAGTTAGGTTTTTTAAAATACAAACACACTTTTTGCAAAAAGCCGCCCCTCCCAAAATTCTAGTTTATTCCTAATATGGGGTACCTGCCAATTCCTAATTTGGGGTACCCCATATTAGGAGATTATTTCCTATTTTGTGTAATACTAAAATATTTTCATTCAGATGCCTAAAAAATGGAAAACGTGGAATAAGGAAGAAATTATTCCGCAATTTTAGCTGTTCGGCAAGGAGTTATGGGCTACATGAAGAGTGCTCGAACTCACAATGTACCTCAAACGACCTTAGAAAGGTACGTTAAGATGGAGGGGAGTCCTGAAGATATTGTGAATTCTCATTTAGGACGAAAAATAGTCTTTTCGGAGGAAATGGAGTCAATGCTCGCCAGTCACTGTTTAGAAATGGAAAGAAGATTTTTTGTAATTACACAAAAAGACGTACGAAGATTAGCATATAGCTTATGCAAAGCAAATAATATTTTTTAATGTATAATAAGAAAAAATACATTTTTGTTAGATGTAGTTTTTTTAACACATGTATTTTATGTTACTCCTAGATAAGTAAGTTTTTTGACTCATTATAAGAAAAAATACCTTTTTGTTAGGTGTAGTTTGTATATGTCAGTTTTATAAATAAATAGTTTTAATCCAAAACAACCCAAAATAAATTCAAGTTTTTTTGAAATTTTACATTGTAAATGGTACCCTATATTACGAACCTAGTGTACCCCGTATTAGGATACCCTATTCCCCTAATATGGGGTAGGTAATCTTTTTTTATTAATGCTGCATATTTCTTTTCTCTATTTCTTTTTAAGCTGTTTCTTCTTACTAAATGCTTAAAATGTGTCCAAAAAAACGTAAAATTCAGAAATAGTGTCCAAAAGTTATTACGTTTTTTATATATAGTGTTTTCAAAAAAGTACGTAGTAAGTAATAATATTAGGCGACTTTCCTCTACATATACTTTTCAACGTAACACTGTTGCCAAATGATGAAAAAGCTTCTGTTTTACGCGAATTTTAATTATCCCAAGAATAAAAAATACCAAAACTAAGCATATTCCTTAAATATTTCATACAAAAAGTAATAACTTGTCTTTCTTTTCTCAATAAATTGAGTTTAAGATGTCTTTTTGTGATTTTTTACGAAAATTGTTTTCTTATTAAATAGATATCTAATAAGGACAAATTGCGAAGAAAATAAAAGAGGCAAGGAAATTTTAAAGCTTTTTATTTTTCAATAAAAACCTTAGCCATCTTTAGTGATTGGTTAAACCAAATATGAAAACAAAGACCCAACTAAGTTTTGACGCCCGAAGATAATAGAAAAATGAAAATCACCTCAGAAGAGCCAAGTTTCCGACTGACCAAGCTAAAAATAGAATTTTAGCTTGGTCAATCGGACGGTTTAGCATCGATGTTAAAATATCGAACATCGCTGGTGAAACATCGATGTTTTTAAAACATCGCCCAACACTACTGCATATAGTAAGCAGTAAGCATGCATAGTAGTTAACCATAGACTTAAAATAAAATATAGACTACACTATTTACATCTAAACGCGGTCAAACAATCTTTTTTGTATACATGTTTACTTCTGGGTACAGTCGACCGAGCCTTCATCATCCAGCCTATGTTGTCACGTCTTTAATATTATCAATATTTTTTTTCTTGTTATACACATATATTGAGATATTAATACTACATTTTAATAAAATAGGTTTTAATATTCCATAGATGTATTAAATAGTTCTTATACTACTAAATTATAAGTCGGATACTATTTAAAAAGGATAAGTTCTTTACAATATGGCAACACTGATTAGAGGCGAGGTCGCCTATTCATTCATTTATTACCTTGTAGTACGCGTCGCACGTGTGCGGTAAAGCTTTGTTGCCGCTATGACCCCGGCTGTATTAACGCATTTTCTTAGCTTGTAGTCCATAAGTGTTTATTTTATTTACTTTTTCTGTTCAAGAACTATAAAATATGGTTCGCCAGTGCCAAATTTGCAAGAAATTTGACTTAAATAGTCCATTTAAGTCTTGAAACGACTTTCGACCGGTAGGCAACTCTCAATTTACCCATTGGGAGTCAGTGGCGTTGTTGCAGAAAGGCGCTTATTTAGATAATATTTTAGTAAAATGTAAAATCTGAATTTTTTCTCTTACATAATCATTTATATAAAGGTTTTTGTAACAAAATAATAATTATTATAACCCTGTTAATAATTAATAATGTTTTTATTAAAAATATATTCTGGTTTATTCTAAAATTATCTTCAGAATCTGAAATAACATACAAGAATTTTAAAATGATATTACATTATGAAACAATATTTTTTAATATATCTATTGGTCTCTTTGTGTTTCACAGGAAATTATTATATATTTTGATTTTTAAAGGTACCCTCGGTATATTGCTACTTTATTCGATAAAAAATGACACTCTGAATAGAATGACATATCATATGTCAACTTTTGACATTGTCGCTTAAAAACAAATCGTATTTTAAATTTCAATCCAGGTGCCATGGTGTTGTTAAAAACACTAAGTTTTAATCAAGCAGCCTTGGAAAAATAGTTTTGATCGTCTAATGGGTTTCGTGTCTTGTCTAGGCCGGTATCGTATTTTTAATCATATATCAATTTTTTTCAAATGGAACAAGGGTGACTCATTAGCATATTTAGAAAAAGCATTTTTTTATGAATATATTGATACCACACACTTGGTATTTCGAGTCAAATTGTCGTTATGAACCGCGTGTTACAATTACAATTAAACCATATGCGAAAATGTCAAAAGTTGACATATGACACGTCATTCTATTCAGAGTGTCATTTTCTATCGAATAAAGTAGAAATATACCGAGGGTGCCATTTAAAAATTAAAAGTTAAAGTCATTTCCGGTGAAACAGGAAGTGACCAAAAACAATTGAATGCGTCAATCAATCCTAATTTATGTCATATACTAACATACTAAATCTTGTTTTTTTATTTGAAAAAATAAAAAAATATGGGGATGAGCCACTTTTGGGACGCACCCGGTATAATAAAGACAGTACCGAGTTAAATAAATGTAGTTTTCATTTTATCCACTTCCTATCACCTTCCTTGCTTTAATGGAACAGATTTATGTTTTCTCTAATTTACATAATAAGACATCACTTAACCAGAAAAAAAAACAACAATCATAACATTTTTATTTCTCTCCCTGTCGTCGAGTCTATTATATCTGTAGAATAGATCCTATTTTGATTAATATTAGGGGTTGTAAATGTTTGACTAAAATTAATATTTTTTTTAATAATTTCAAAAATTACGTAATTTCGATTATAAAATTTCTTCTATAACATGTATTTTATTATTTTTATCCTTTTTGGACTCTAAGGCGTTTTTTCTAAACTTTTATTTAAAAAAACCTCTCCTAAATCTTAATAAAATATAAAAAGGTTTAAATACGATATATTTTTAATTTAATTATAGCTTCATTAAAATAAAAAATTACCCGGCTATGATACGGAGAGTTCAGGTGTACTTGAGAAACGAAAGAAGTGTTGCGTTTCTCGTCAGAGTCGTCAAGGAACGACCGTTACGACAGAGACAACCCATCTATCGCTCGTGTCGCACTCGTTATAACCTAAAACAATAACACAACAATAACAAGACATTGTCTGACTGCATGTTCCAGCTATTTATGAATGAGATGCTCAGTCTATATTTTATTTTAAGTCTATGTAGTTAACTAACCCTATCGTTTCTGTCTTACACATAGACTTGTTATCTTTCTTCATGAGTAGATCTGATTAGCTGCTGTTATATAGGGTGGTGTCAATTTAGATGCTCAACATTGGCATCCCAGAAACTACGAGAGATACGAAGTCGGTTAAATGGGATAAAAGGTGCATAATTAGATGTTTGACAAACACCTATGAAGAAAACCCCGGCATCTTTATTAGTTTCGGATTTATGTCAAAAAAATGAAAATATTATGTTAATATTAAATGACAATATCTTCAGAACTATTGTATCTATTGGAACGTAAGTTGGTAGTTTTATATCTTTAACCTCGGCCAATTCAATGCCGTTTTCAGAAAAATTCTAAGTCTTCTAGATTTCG